TCACTGTAAAGTATAATTAAATAACTTAATCGTAGCATATTTTTTTAATATCACAGTTTTGTCTTTTATTTCAAAAATCTGACAACGATTGATTTGATTTTTTTATTATCATTTAGTACTTCCTTCTAAACTCGTTAGTTTCAATTTTAACTTTTGTTTAAAATCTAAATATTATATACATTTTTTAAATCAATATACTTACTAATATATTTAGATGACTTCGTGTTAATTTTTGTGTTTAACTTGTTTGCTAACTTTTCAATTTTTTAAATAAACAGCGTCCTAAGAGTGTTTTTATAAATTTCTAGTATATCTTTTATCTGCACAGATCTATCAGTTATTTTAAAATATTTTTTATTATATTAGCTAAATGAACGTTCGTTTGCCGTTAGGTTAATCACGATTTCAACTTTAAATAATCCAAACTTAATTTCAGGTGTTACATATTATCATTTGCCTATTTTTAAATAAGAAATTAATATGTTGGGAAACTAAGAAAATATTTTGTCAAGTTCTGTTCGAAAAAAAAAAACTACATGTATTCACATACATGGACATATTTACAAGCGTAGAAAAAAAGAAAAATGGTTAAATCGACATATTTAGAAAAAAACAAAAATAGGAGGCTTCATAGTACATTCAAAGCTAATACAAGTTTTAGTAAAAAAAAATTTTCAATTAGAATGTTTTAAATTGAGAGTGACTATTAATGATAAAATCTCCTTAAAATTGTTTGGTCAAATTTTTTGACGACTTCATTCTCATATACAAAAAAATAATTAAAAAAAAACTATGAGAATATCTATAGGCGTGACAATTCAATTGCACTTTGAATAAAAGTTATTTTTTTTATATACTTTTTTACAACCTAAAACAAAACTAAAATTTTGTTAACAAAATTTTAATTTGATAATTATTAAGAAAATATACTTTTGTAGCTATAGTTACAAAAATATATTTTCTAAATAATTATCCTCTTGTTTTTTTTAAATACTTGTTAGCATATTATGATGATGCAGCAGATGATTGGTTTTTATTTATTTTTGAGAGCTAGGGAAACTGATCATCAATATCAGTACAATAATTTAAGATTTTAATTTATTCAGTTTTAAAAAGGAGGTTTTATTTTGTTAAGGAGTTTTTATCATATTTAGTTTTGACAGATTACAGATACTAAAAATTTTGACAGAGTTTGGCATTTTGAATCATGTAAGGATGGATGGCTACAATATTTTACTGCTAGTAATACTGGAATTGATGTTGAATCTGTAACTGACTTTATATGGCAATCTGTTTACGGTTTTTGATTTGAAAAAAAAATTAAAATTAAAAGTTGAACATTTTATTATATAAATTTTTAAATTTAAATTTTAAAACTTTAAAAAATTTATGATAACCAATATTCAATTTTTTAGATATGCGTGAAGAGACAAAACTATTAGGAACTGGCTAAACTAGCTCTTGTGTTCTCGAAACCAATATTCAAGTCTTATTACTTACAAGACAGGAACAGAGCACGTTTTATGGCAATAAGAGTCTACTATTTGAAGATCATGCTTTTTCTTAATTTGACCAAAGGAATCTTAAACATGAGCCAGTAGAAAATTAAAGAGATAAATAAAAATTTTATCTTTTCAATCTTTTTGTTAATATTTGTTGCTCTGATATAGTATAAACTCATAATTAGTATAATACTAGATTAATTATGAGTTTATACTAAATAGTATAAACTCATAATTAATCTAGTTTTTAAGCATTTTAATACCTTTACAAAGTAATACCTTTGCAGAGCCATTACATTATTTGGCAAATGGCTGACCAAGAGACTAACCTTGCTGCAACTTTTGTTTCCCAATAGTGGAAACACTGCAGCTGGTACTTAAAACCCACAGCTATTATCTTTGCCCTGGTAAACTTAATTCATTTTTTACACTGATGATAAATTTGATGATAAAGAAAGAGATGGCTTTTAAGCTAGTTCAGTATTGAAAGTTAAAGATATTAAGCAAATGGACTCGTTGAAGAAAGTTTTTTATTTTTTATATCTATTGCTTAAAATTTCTTAAAAAATTTTTAATTTCAATTTTCTAATTTCAAATTTTCTAAAGAGAGACAAAATAAATAAAATGAAATTTGAAAACATGTTCATGAGTAAGATAAAAATTTAATGTTAGAAAAATTTTATTTTTGTTTTCAATCTATTGGTTTTAAACTTAAAGAACGTTTTCCTTTACGTAATTTTAAAAGGAATTTCGTTCAATTGCGCGTGCAAACTAAATTAATATTCAATATAAGAGTATGGTGGGTAGTTACTGAAATAGGTAGACAAATAAAACGGGCAGTTTGGAAGACAGTAAAATCTAGGAAACAATATTATCACGGTTTGAAAGATTTTATGAGCAGTGAAAGTTGTGTTGTTACAACTATTAAATAATTCGATTGTCAACTAAATCGTCTAATATATTTTCTAAAGTCGATTTAGTCAAAAAAAAAAAAAAAAAAAAAAAATATATATATATATATATATATATATATATATATATATATATATATATATATATATATATATATATATATATATATACATATATATATATAAGAACATAAATATTTTATGTAAAGTTTCTGTTAAATGAAAAAAAAGGTTTTTTTTTCTGAAAAGATTTTGCAGTTCTACTTATTTTTATTTAAATTTTTGTTGCAGATAATTTCTATATTTATAGATAAATATAGAAAATATGGAAAAAGGTACATACAAGTCATTATTGGATTTTAATTTGGGAGTACTTAGGTTGTTTTGAATTTTTTGGGTTTTTTATTCTTAAAATTCAATTTATATTTATAATATATTTTTGTCAAAATAATAAAAAAACAACTTTTACAAAACTTGTTTAAATATATTTTAATTTACTATTATTTAATAGTTTAATAAAAATAACAATCAACTAAAAAAAAAGCAAAATAGAAAAATCATTTGTATATTTCATCAGATTTTTAAAAACTTTTGTTAATGTTTATTTTATCAATATTTATTTTACAAGTTTACTTAATATTTATCAAAGTATTAGTATGTATTAAAGGATTATTCACAGCGACAAACGAAATAAAATATTTACTGTTTTGATAATATTGGTTAACGGCCAACGATTGTAAACAATGTAAGTATATAATTTATTTATTTATTTATTTATGTTTATAATTATTTCAGTTAGTCAATTAGCCATAAGATTTTTAGAATATCCTACTGTTTAAAAGTATAAAAAATGTGTTGTTATGAAAACATTTTTTTCTACATTTTATATTTTAATTTCTTGGCAAAAGTATTTACAATACTTCATAATTTATTTATAAAAAGCATTTACTTTTCAGAAATTTATTATTTCTATCAATTTTTTACGTTTTATGTCAAGAAAAACAATAGTCACAATCAAAAGTAAAAAATAAAAGTTAAAAAAATTTGATTACATTTTTAGTTCCTTTACGCGTGTTTTATTTTCCTTTACGCGTGTTTTTAAGTCCTTTAGGCGTTTTTTAAGCTACTTTTTGCACATGTTTTTATAAAATGTTGAAATCGCTTAAATTAATGTACGCAATAGGAAAATCAACATGCATAATGGTTAAAGAACCTCCAAATGTTTGGTAAATCTCCAAGTAACGTTCTTTTATATTATACATAAAAGTTTTTATTTTTCAAAATAAAATTATTCCTTAAGCCAAACTTGTTTCCCTTAGAATCTGATGCTTTTAAAAATGATTCCAAAACATAAAGCAAATTTATGAGAGTTAAACTCATTTTTAGTTTCTAGTTTTTTTGAAGGTAGGCAAATAAAATAAGTAAGAAAGCATCGGTATTAATCAATGAACCAATGAATATTAATTAATAAATATTTTGATTTGAGTGTTGTTGTTTTTTTTAGAATATGCAGGTCACTTTGACCGGTCACTGACTCCAAAAATCTGTTTAATAATAAAATGTTTTCCTCATTAAAAGTAAAATTTTAACTTTTATTCCTCACTAGTATTACAAGTAAAATAATTAAGGATTCTGTTTTTCAAAAGTTGACGGGCACCAAATAAAAATCAAAATAGAGTTTTGTCAAACATCTTCAATATTTTTGTTTGTTTGTTTTTTTATGTTGGTTTTTTTTGTCAGTACAATAAACTATAACATGAAAAAACAGATGTTATTTTCGTTTCATCTATTTACACTAAAAACAAAACAATGGTATCTCATTAATGATTTATCCAGTTAAAATTATTTCTATAAAACCAATAGTTTGCAAAGTATGTGATACTTCATCGAAGATTATTTCTTATTGCAAACACATAGAGAATGTTAGATCAAAAATATTTTGTCGTAAATTTTTGATTATGTTGGCGTGTTTTTTAAACAATAATGAAAGAAATCTTAAGACACAACATTCAACGAGACCCAGACAATATCACCACCAATTAAAAAGACCATTAAGCAATCGTTGAAGAAAACATTGAATAATATTAATGATAAAACTCCAATAATGAATATAAGTGAGCATTTTCCTTCTCGTCAGTTTTTTTTTTTGTCTGCTTCATTGCTTTTTTAAAAAAGCATTAAAATAGCTGTTAGATATTTACCAAAAATAATTAATATTAAACATTTTAACTTTTTTTATATATAAATAATTAAAATTTTTTTTTTACATATTTAATCGGTAAAGATAAATCATACTTAATAAGTATAAAAATGAATAACTATTTTCAATCTTTATTTTTATGGTTTTTATATAACTGAAAAAGTATATATATATATATATATATATATATATATATATATATATATATATATATATATATATATATATATATATATATATATATATATATATATATATATATATATATATATATATATATATATATATATATATATATATATATATATATATATATATATATATATATATATATATATATATATATATATATATATATATATATATATATATATATATTTATTTATTTATTTGTAACTACAAATTAAGTTTCCTAAAATAAATAATCAATGAAAAAGTAGAATTTAGTGAGCAATGGATGAAACCACAGAATGTTTACTTGAAAAATCTAATTTTTTAAGCAATGAAAAAATTGATGCAAATATTGAAGTTACAATAAAGATGCAAGATTTAAATATAAGAGATGAACTCGTTTACATAAATGTTAGCGGTCAGCCATTTATTACCACAGTTCAGACGTTGAATAATTTTCCTGATTCGTTACTTGGAAACAAAGAAAGAAGAGATCAGCTTCAAAAAACAAACAATGGAGAAATATTTCTTAACCGACATCCAAAAGTGTTTCGAAGCATCTTAACTTTCTATCGATACGGAATTTTAGAGCAACCTTCTCGAGTCAATCAATTAATTTTTGTTGATGATGTCAAATACTACGGTCTTATCGCAGAGGCATTGGAGGTTGGAGTAAAAGGTTTTCATAAAGAAAAAAAAGTTTATCATCAAAGAAAATGGCAAACATATGTATGGAACATTTTAGAATATCCTGATTCTTCCCTCGCAGCTAGAATTTTTTCTTTGTTTTCTCTATTAACAATAATACTATCAATAGTGGTATTTTGCATGGAAACGTTGCCGGTGTATAAAGAAAAGAAAGGAGTTATAATGTCTTCTGACAAACAATTTATTAAAAATGCTTTAGATGATCTTGAAAAATTTTGCATAATTTATTTTACAATAGAAATTATTACTCGTTTTTTATTCTCACCAAGTAAATGGCGTTTTATTAAAAACATTCTTAACATCATAGACATTATCTCTATTTTGCCGTTTTACGTCACAATTGTTTTACATACGAAGGGGTCTTATTCAATTTATTTTTTGCGAGCAATACGACTTGTTCGCGTATTCCGCGTATTTAAATTATCAAGACACTCAAATGAAATGATTATATTAGGCGTAGCTATGAAAGAAAGTTTTCGCGAACTTATTGTCCTTGTGTTCTTTATTCTTTTGGGAGTGCTACTTTTTTCAAGCGCTGTTTATTACGCTGAAGATGGAACAGAAACAACTTTTACCAGCATTCCTCAATCTTTTTGGTGGAGTATTGTAACTATGACAACGGTAGGATATGGAGATGAATATCCTAAATCTCAATGTAGGTGGTTAAATATCATTATTTGGGCATACAAATAAATTTGATTTAATTTAACTGCAATAAGTCGTATGTCAAAAATAAGTTATAATAAAGAAGCTTTGCTATTTCTAAATATTCTTTTCTAAAATAATGCTTAATGATTCGCAACTGTATAAGGTTGGCAAAACTTGTCTTTTTGATATTGCCTTCTGTTAAACATTTTAAAAGACTAAAGTAAAAAACATATTTAATAAAAAAATTATTATATGCTTAAATACCATAAATTATTTTTTTTAAATTAAATAGTATTGTCATTTTAAAACGCAAATTAATCTTTTTTTTTTTTTTAGTAGGAAAACTTGTTGGTGCAGTGTGTGCAATGACAGGTATTCTTGTTATAGCTATGCCCATACCTATCATTGTTAATAACTTTACTCAGCAGTATCAAGTTTTGCGACCAGGCTCAAAATACTGGGATGTTTTCCAACACAAGAATGATGCAAAAAAAAAAGATATTGCCGAAGTTGTAGACTGTTAATAGAGATTGCGCTTGAATAAAACGGACTCATTGCTAATGGTATAATGGTGTAATAAATTATCAAAATAAATTGTATATAGATGATAACCTTTCTGCACATACTAATGATGAAGTGTGCTTTAATGAAATAGATAAAATAATAACAGTTTTTTTTAACATTATCAATCGTTTTTTAATGTTCATTTACATACGGGGCAGAAAAATGTATACTTTAAAAAATGTATACTTTAATGCATAAAGGATGTGTTGAAAGGTGTGTGTTGTAGGTTTTAATAATCAAAAAATGTTTGTTTTTTTGCATTTACAAAATATTCAAATATTGGCAAAAAGTATTAATATATGGCAGCCGCCAAAAATTTGGCTATCCAATGACTAGCCACTGTTACTATATTAGAAAATTATTGGGTAGCCATTTATAGCAGCTGCCACTAACAATCCACAAGTAACCTAAAAGCTAAACTCAAATGAACGCTTAAAAATGCCTATATAGGTCCATTAGAAATCCCCTAAAGGAATATTTGCTGAGATCGTAAAAATGGGTAAAAACCCATGCGCAGTTAAAGGAATATTTTTTCAATAGAAAGTACAAGAGAAGATTTTTACATTACTCAGCTGAGTCTACGAGTTCTAAAGAGGACATTACAGAAAGTAGTTCTCAGTCCAACGGTAGCAAGCAGGGGTGTGGAGTTGTTAAAAAATAGTACCGACTCCGACTCCAAATGTTTAAATTTTCAGAGTATGATTTCGATTTTAACTCCGACACCGACTCCAAAGTAAAATTTTTTTAAAAATTTTACGCGAAAATTAAAAAAATGTTTTTCGCCCAAATATATGTAATGTTCTTTGAAGGTTAAATACTTTGTAAATGCACATAAGTTTTCCAATTGGAATCGGAGTTGCAATTTTGTTTAGCGACTTATACTCCGACTCCGTTAAAAATGTCGTGACTCTGACTCCAGAGCCCTGGTAGCAATACAAATAATAATACTAAAAATGGTAGTTTTACCCAAGAAACAAAAGAAATTGTAGTATCTGAGCCTGAGGAAAAATCAAATGTTTCCATACTTAAGTTTTTTAGTTGTAATTCATTTGAAAACTCTTTATTTGATCTACTGATTATCAAAACCTTTATGTTTTAAACCTTGTTGTATTTAATGATTAGCAGTTCATTTACTTATATTGAATTTGATCGATTTTTAAAGACTTTGATGGTATGTAAATTGTAGCCTACACTGTGCAATGTACTTGTAAATGTACATTGCCAAGCTAATAAATTTATCAACCAACTTTGGCCTTAAATAAAAATTAAAAAAATCAGGCTTATTCTAGTTTAGTGACTTATAATCCAATAATTTTCTGCCTTATGTAACTTACTATTCAAGTTTAGAGACTTTTTATAAAGAAAAATATTTTTAATATTTACTTATTGAATGGAGTTCCTATAGAAAAGGGCCATTTTAGCGCACTCAAGCCCTATAAAGGTCACGCTAATTTTTGGCAAATAAAAATTTAAATTGGCATATAAATTTTTTTGGTGTATTATTTAAATTTATAAAAATTACAAAATCAAAATGCATTTATCATCTTGGGCGCACAAATGCCACGGTCTGCAACCTGAACCAGGGTACGTTTAATGTTTTTTTACACAGGATATATATATTTATCTATGCAGATCCTCACCAACTACGCCAGACATTATTTAATTCATGCCAATTCAGCAAAAAGTATTTTATTTCAAGGCAATAAAAAATCGTAAAATTAGCACTATTCAATGGTTTTAAATTTTTCTTATTTCAATGGTTCTACAAAAAGGTTTAGTCAATTTACTATTCTAGACACTAACTGCCCTAATTTTAAAACACTCAATTGACGTCAAAAGTAAATGCGGCCAGTCAGTGTGTGAGCCTGTCATATCAAGTAATGCACTGCAAAAATTGTTGCTCTGACTATTTAGCTCTGGCTGTCACCAGAAATGGCGCATATTTCTATTAATTTGTGAAAAATGTCTGATGAAGTTGGCACAAGTAAAGAGTTTTATAATTAGGAACATTCTACATTATTGTATAGTCTTATTTTCATTTAAGCTAATGGTTGGAGCCTGTGTTGGTTGGTAAAGTTTTAAAAAATATATTTTTACAGTTTTAAGTTTCTATTATTTGTTTATAGATTTTTCAGTGAATTTATGGCATCTCTTAAAATGATTCGTAGATTTGTTTTATTTTTAATGTATTCTCACATACTGAACCACGCACAAATTATTGTCATGATTGCATAGCTTTAGTTGACACGTATAAAATAGTTATTGATTGTTCATCACATATTTTCATATTGGATATCATTAGCCAATTTGTTTTACCTCAATATGTGTTTTATCATAAAATTTGAATGCAATTAAATCTTATCAAATGGAAAATATGTTTAGTAAAAGAACATTTTAATTTAAGACAAAATTTAATTGAAAATATTAAATTGAAAATTTTTTAATATATTCATTTATTGATGGTGGAGAACCATACACAAAAAAAGTGTTTTTTTTAAAAAAATATTTTTGTTATCTTTTAATTATCAATAAACATAAATCATTTATTATTAGTAGTGGTACAAAATTAAATGAAATCTTACTTGCTGATCAAAAAATGCCACATAATATGCCTAAGCCGCCTACTATTAAATTGTTTACACATTGAAAAGGCCATGACTTTAAAAACTTTATTTTATACTTATTTTATAGCAGTTCCATACTTTCTCTTTATTTAAATCCTGACTGCACAATGATGATTTATTCTCTAGTAATCGGCGTGCGCTTGTCAAGCAGTGAAATATGTTTAGATAAAGTATTGGTTATTAGTCAGCTGTTTAATTTTTATCAAAAATCTTTGTCTGAGTTGCTTCCCATATATATAAATAATATCAATGTTTATCTACTAGGTCTTGTTAGCAATATTAATAAAATGTATTGGAGTGCTACAAACTACTTAATGTTTTGTTTTGAAGCAATTATAAAAAATTGATGAAAGGAATACATGATCACAAAGGAACAGAGGGTATTAAATCTTGACATTTTTTTGATCCTGGGAAGCGGAAAATTTAAAAATAATTTCCCGGATTCCCGGTAATAAATCCTTTCTTAAACAAATATATAAACACAAGACTAACTTTTAATAGAAAAACGATATTCATTTTTAAAACGTTAATTTATTTCAAATTTATATATGCGAAATTTGTATGCACTAAGGTGGAGTGATTTTAATTATTTTTAATATCTCTTTGAATTCTAAGTTCTTGACGGGTCTTAGGGTGGAATGCAAAAAGCAAACTTGAGTCAAGTTTGACTTGAACTTTACTTTGTAACCAATAGAGGCAGAGTATTTTTTGAGGTAAAAACCCATATTCTGTCGCTATTGGTTACAATGTAAAGTTCAAGTCGAACTTGACTCAAGTTCGCTTCTTGCATTTCACCCTTAATAATGTTGAAATTTTTTCAAAAAAAGCAGAATAATATGCTGATTTTGAAAATTATATTTGTTTTTATTTAAAATAAAAAGAATAAAAAAATCAAGAGTCATTTCTTCTTTAAAAACCCCCGTTTTTAACAAAACGAGGTATATTCAGGTATATTTTAGCAAATATTTTTTTAAAAAAAATTTTGTATTTAATAAAACTATTATTAATAAAACATGCATTTTTTTCTACTTTTTTTGAGTCCAAGATTGATATGGTTTAGAAATAAAAAATTCAAAAATATCGAGGCCTGTCAAGAATTTAGAATCCAAAGAGAAACCTAAAGAGCTCATTAAAATCGGAAAATATTTTTTTAATTTTTTTTTATAATTTAATAGAAATCGATTCGCTTCTCCGTAATAATTATTTTCAATTTTTTTTTTTTTTTTTTGCTTTGAAAATTGCTCAACCCTAGTAGGAATTTTGTAAGACATATATTAAGAAAAATTAATTTTATTTGAACAAAACATATTTTGAACTTATTTGGTTAGGAAACAACTTTCTAAAATTGTGAGGCAGTCTAGAGATGAGTCACTAAGTGATGATCTTCGTTTTGAGCAAAAATTAGACAACAATGAATATACTCTCTCGCTTTCAATTGATGTTGGCTGTATGGAAGTTAAGGCATCAAGCAACTTTTTAAAATTATTTGTTATATATCCAGTATTGTCATAAATTTGAAATGCTTTTTTGAGGTCTTTGTTAGAACCTTTAGTTAGACTTTTTAGGTTTATAAGCTGCATTTATAGCTATTGCCAATATGTCTTTAACATTTAGTTAAGCAATTATTTTCTTTAGAGGATTCACTTTCAATTCCAATATTGATTTCTTCACTAAACAATCTATTAAATAAGTCATTTACATAACGAATTATTGGAGCTTTTGAAGATGAAGGTAGCTCATGAGTTGTAATTGAATGTAAATCGTATGTTTGGAAGTATTTAATCTAAGTCACAAGAGCTTGAAATCTTTACTCTTTAACACGAAGAGAAAGAGCTAGCAACATCTCCTCTAAAACTGCATTATTGTTGTTACGCAGGAAATCAAAAATAACAGCTACATCTGATAATGTAGACATAATAAGTTTGGTATATAATTTTTTGAAAATTTAAACTTAACGTTAATTATGACTTATTTTTATTCTTGAACAAACACAAAACGTTGTTGTTATTCCAGCTGAAAATCTAGTTTGCAAATGCTTATTAATTAAAAGTAAACTACCCACAAAAAAGTATTATTTTAAAAATATTGAAAGAACTTTTTGAATATGTTTAGGATGGGTATTTTGTAATTAATAGTGCTTCACACCATGCTTATGTGTTTTTTTTTTTTTTATACGAGCAAACTTTTTATTAATGTATATTTTAATAACTTCTGTTTTTCTCATATCATTTAAACTAAATGACATTTATTTTTCAAAAATGAATGTGATTTAGTTTAAATGAAATTCAAAAACGAGACCTTTGCAGTTAGCCAGAAAAGTATTTTTCAGAGTTAATAGAGTAATTTTAATTTTGAAGCTCTTGATATCTTTGGGATTAAGGATGTCAGGGGGCAAGTTATTCCAAATATTAACAACCCTTAGTGAGAAAGAGTATTTACGGACATCGAGTTTACACCTTAGTTTGCGTAATTTGAATTTATGACCTCGAGTGTAAAT